TACATCTCATTGTTAAAATGGGTCAACCCGTATCCCTATCTAAACATTTTGTTTTTTCCTTTCCACTCTCCACACTATACCCACATCAAATACAGTGAAAACAGGGGTTCCACCATGGGGGAGGAAAATACAAAGCAACAAAAAAAATCATATGGTACATTATAAATACGTAAGAAACAATAGCAAGAAACAAAAAACCACTTTGTCCCTATCTTGGGGTTCATTTCAGTTAACATCATGTTATCTGGTCATATGTACATAGCTTTCATATGTACATAGCTTTTGACCTTTTCTGCTGGTCCCAGACATATACTAGTTATTGCAAATAAGGGAAACCATGGGACCTATATTTCTTTGGGGGTGGTGTCATTCTTTCTGATGGAGGCATAGAACTCCATTGTATATATACAACATTTTCTTGGTCCATTCATCTACTAAGGGGCATCTGGGTTGGTTCCATATCTTAGCTATAGTAAATAATGCTGCAATAAACATAGCTGTGCTGATAGCTTTAGTACGACCTTGTTTGTGATCATTTTGGTAAATACCCAAAAGTGGGATTGCTGGGTCATAGGGGAGCTCTATGTGGAGTCTTTTCAGGAACTTCCATACTGCTTTCTAAAGTGGTTGAACAAGTTTACACTCCCACCAACAATGCAGTAGGGTTCCCTTCTGTCCACATCCCCTCCAGCATCTGTTGTTAGACTTCTTGATTATAGCCATTCTAACTGGGGTGAGGTAGTATCTCAATGTTGTTTTGATTTGCATTTCTTTTATGGCTAGGGTGGTTGAACATTTCTCTATTGGCCATTCTTATTTCCTCTTTAGAGAAGTTTCTCTTTGTCTTTAGCCCACTTATTTATTGGGCAGTTGTTTCTTTGAGGGTTTGTTGTTGAGGGATTTTATTTTTTGAGTTCTAAGTATATTTTAGACATGAGACCCTTGTACATTGTATGGCTAATGAAGATCTTCTCCTAAACCGTGGACTTTCTATTGATCTTGCTAGCTATGTCCTTTGCCATGCAGAAGCTCTGCAGCTTCATGCGGTCCAATTTGTCCAACCTTTCTTTGATTTGTTGTGTTTCTGGGTCTCTATTAAGAAAATTTCAGCCTGTACCAAGGAGACCTAGGGTTTCTCCTATTCCATACTGTAATGTTTTCAGGTGTTTGCTTTGGCTTCGAGGTCTTTGATCCATTTGGAGTTGATTCTAGTGAAGGGTGATATATAAGATGCTAGCTTTAGTTTTCTACAGGTGATTAACTAATTTTGCCAGCACCATTTACTGAAAAGGTTGTCTGTCTTCCATTCTATTTTTTTAGCTCCCTTATCGAAGATCATTTGGCTATAGGTCTGTGGGTTCATTTCTGTGTCTTCAGTTCTATTCCATTGGTCCTCAGGTCTCTTCTTCTGCTGGTACCAAGCTGTTTTGATTACTATGGCTTTGTAGTACAGTTTGAAGTTTGGTATCTATATTCCTCCAGCACTATTCTTTCTGTTAAGGATCGTTTTTGCTATTCAGGTTTTTTTTTTCCCATATGAATTTTTGAGTTGTTTCTGTTTCATTGAAGAATGAAGTTGGAATAGATAGGTATCACTTTGAATTTGCATATAGCCTTGGGAAGTATAGCCTTTTTCACGATGTTTATCTTTCAGATCCAGGAGCGTGGGCGGTTTTTCAACTTCTTAAGTTTTGATTTAATTTCCTTTTTCAGGTTTTTAAAGTAGAGGTCCTTCACTTCTTTAGTGGGGCTATTACAAAAGGAGTTGCTTTCCTGATTTCAGCCATGCTCTTCTCATTGTTGGCATACAGAAAAGCCATTGATTTTTGAGAATTAATTGTACACCCTGCTACTTTGCCAGTTTCAAATCAGCTCAAGTAATTTGAGAGTGAAGTCTGAGGGATTCTTTAAATACAAGATCATGTCACCTGCAAGGAGGGAGAGTTTTACTTCATCTTTCCCTATTTGTATCTTTTTCACGTTTGCATCTTGTCTTACTGCTGTAGTTAGGCATTCTAATACTAAATTGAAGAGAAGTGGAGAGAGTGGACATCCTTTTCTCATTCCTGAGTTTAGAGGAAATGGCTTCAGTTTTTCCCCATTAAGTATAATGCTGGCTATAGGTTTGTCATATACAGCCTGTATTGTATTGAGGAATGTTCCATGGATTCTTAGCTTTTCCAGGGCCTTCATCATAAAGGGGTGTTGGATCTTGTCGAATGCTTTTTTCTGCATCTATTGAGATAACCATGTGGTTCTGATACTTGCTCTTGTTGATGTGATGAAGTATATTAATTAATTTGCATATATTGAACCAGCTTTGCATCCCTGAAATGAATCCTGTTTCATTGTGGTGTATGATTTTTTGGATGAGCTGATGAAATCAATAGGCCAAAATTTTGTTCAAAAGTTTTGCATTGATGTTCATCAAAGAAATGGGTGTATAGTTTTATTTCTTTGATGAGTCCCTGCCTATATTTGGGATGAGGGCTACAATAGCTTCATAGGAAGAGTTCAGTTTTGAACTTTATCTTTCAATTTCATTGAAGAGTTGGATGAGTATTAGTTTGAGTTCTGCTTTGAAGGCCTTGTAGAATTCTGCTGTAAATCCATCTGGTCCTGGGCTTTTCTTAGATGGAAAATCTCTTATTTGTTTAGTTCATCCTGGTTTAGATTTGGCACGTGGATATTTGCTAGGGAATCATCCATTTCTTCCAGATTCTCAAACTTATTAGCATAAAGGTTTGAGAAGTATTCCCTTATTCTGTTCTGAATCTTAGTTGTTTCTGTGGTGATGTTTCCATTCTCATCTCTGAGTTTGTTTATTTGGGTGTGTTCTCTTCTTTCTCCATAAGATTTGCTAAGGGTCTTCAATGTTGTTAATTTTTTCAAAGAACCAACTCTTTGTTTTGTTGATTCTTTCTATGTTTTTTGGATTCTAATTCATTTAATTCTGATTTAATTTTAATTATTTCTTTCCGTCTACTGGATTTGGGTTTATCTTGCTGCTCTTTTTCAAGGAGGTTTAGACGTGTCATTAAATTGTTGGTTTCAGATCTCTCCAATTTGTTGATGTAGGAGCTCAGAGCTATAAACTTGCCTCTGAGTACTGCCTTTGCTGTGTCCCAGAGGAGCTGGTAATTTGTGTGTTCATTTTTGTTTAATATCATGAACATTTGAATTTCGTTTCTAATCTCTTCCATGACCCACTAGTGGTTCAACCGTGTGTTGTTCAGGACTTTCTTTGGTGCTTTTGGTGTTGAGTTCTAACTTTATTCCCTTGTAGTCTGAGAGATTGCAGGGAATAACTTCAATGTTGATGAATTTGGACAAGTTTGTTTGTGACCTAAAATATCTATTTGGAAAATGTTCCATATGCTGTTGAGAAGAATGTGTATTCTGATGCTGCTGGGTGAAAAATTCAGTAGATATCTGTTAAATGTAGGGGAGATTATCTATGCAGTTGTTTAGATCTGCAGTTTCTCTGTTGAGTTTTTGCTGGGTTGATCTATCTAGTGGGGATAGTGGTGTGTTAAAGTCTCCAACAATTAATGTCTTTGGATCTATGTGAGATTTTAGGGAAAGTAGTGTTTCTTGGATAAATGTGGTTGCTCTGTTGTTTGGTGAACAGATATTTAGAACTGCAATATACTCCTGAAGGAGAGATCCCTTAATTAGTATGTAGCAACCTTCTTTATCTCTTCTCACTAATTTTAATTTGAAGCCTATTTTATCTGATATTGGGATTGAAACTCCCACCTGTTTATGGGGCTGTTTGCTTGGTCGATTTTGTTCCAGCCTTTCACTTTCAGAATGTGTTTGTTTTTATGGGCAAGGTGACTCTTAAGGCAGCAGAGAGAAGGATTTTGCTTTTAAATCCAACTAGACAGTCTATGTTGCTTAATTGGAGAGTTAAGTCCATTAATACTAGAGTTAGGTCTGAGAGGTGGTTGGTAGTTCCTGCCATGTTATCTACCTTCCGGGGGGCTGTCACAACGGGGTTGTTCCTATGGAGTTTTGGATTCTCTGTTTGGGTGCGTATTTTTGGCCTTTATTGTGCCCTTGTTGGTCTTCTATGTGTAGGGCTGGTTTGGTGGAGATATATTGTTTCAGTTTTTCTTTGCCTTGGAAGGTTTTTATTTGACCTTTGGTTATGAAGGGAGTTTTGCTGGGTACAGTATTCTTGGTTGATAGTTGTTTGTCTTTAGGGCATGGCATACATCATTCCTGGCTCTTCTTGCTTTCATTGTCTTTGCTGAGAAATCTGAGTTTATTCTAATCGGTTTTCCTTTATAGGTGATTGATCATTTCTCCTTGACAGCTTTAAGGATCCTTTCCTTGGTCTGAATTGATCCTGTTCAGATTATGTGATGGAGGGATGTCCTGTTCTGGTTTGGTCTATTTGTGGCTCTAACAGCTTCTTGTATCTGAATAGGCCTATCTTTTTGCATGTTTAGAAAGTTCTCTGCTAGGATCCTGTTAAATAAATTTCCTAGACCATTAACCTCTGTCTCTAGATGCTCCTCTACATTAGGTCTTCTGATGGTGTCATTTCTTGGATTTGTCTTGGATAGTGTATGTTCTTTCTCTATAATATCTAGGCTGTCTTCAATCCCAGAGATTTGATTTGCATGATCTAACCTACTGTCAAGACTTTCTACTTTGTTTTTTATTTCCTTTCCTTTTAATTGTTCAACTTTGATGGCTTCAAATTCCTTGTTGGAGCTTTGTTTAGATCTTGTATGGAGTTCTTTACTTCCTTAATTTGGTGTTCATGTTTATTCTCAAATACTTTAGTTATTGCTTATGGTTTTATTGGACTCCCTTTCCTTCCGACAGGCTCCATCAGCATTCTGTTTGTGATATCCCTGGATTCCTTCAGATGTCTGTTTATGGATTCCATGAATGCCTCTATTGATCTTTGTCTATTCTCATCCCGCTCACACAATTCCTGTATTACTCTTTTGATTAGCTTTCTCACATCACACAATTCCTGTATTAAAAATATGAAACTTTTCACAAATTTGCATGTCATCCCTGCACAGGGGCCATGCTAATTTTCTCTGTATCATTCCAATTTTTAGTATATGTGCTGCTGAAGTAAGCACATATCTGAAACTTTTTTAATCGATACAATCCCATGTGTCAATCTCTCTCTTATTCTCTGAGCTATAAGATTCATATTCAGAAAGTCCTTGTTTATGGTGATATCTTTGTTTCTCTTCTTTTCTAATTATAGTTTCAAACTTTCAGGTCTTACATTAAAGTCCTGATCCATTTTGAGTTTATATCACACATTCATATAATAAAGTTGACACTTTTACTTTTCTTTCTACAGTTTTAAGTGTTACCATTCATGGCCTGAGAGTTGTTTGAAACCATAACTGAGGATAAAAACCTAAAATCAGAATGTGCTAATTTTTGACAGATCTCATCTAAAAACACAATGAAGCATCAAAATATAGGCAGAATTTAAAAGCACAAAATAAACTGTAAAATTAAAGCTCCACTTTAAAACGTATTACATTAAAGAGTTAACTGAGCAGATGTTCAATACTTCTCATAGAAGCACTGGTGCTTCTGATATTCTTCTATGTAGCATTTTTCATATAATATAGTTGCTAAGCATGCACAGTTGAGGATTCTGAGTGAAAGACTATATCTGAAATACTTGCTTGGTTAAGGTAGGAGGCTGAGAGGGCCCTGAAGCCTTCTGAAATCACAGATCTCGCTGATATGGCAATTTAGGTATGTGTTATTTTAACAAGATAGTGAAATGAAGGAAACTTTTTCCCCCAGCTTTAATGAATATTATGATATTTTGATGAATATTAAAAAATCCAGAGTTGCAAAATTCACAAAGTACTACATTTCTGCCAAATATGATTTGAGGTTTAAGTATTGTAGGTATATATTCAACTAACCTATGACAAGAAAATATTGTCATTGCCCAATAGGATTATGGAGATAAATTGCTTATTAAATGGCAACTCCTTTGTATAATTACTTAAAGATAATCTTAAAAAGAAAACAAACATAAATCAACATAGAAATTTCTTTATCAAGAATGTCTTATCTCCTCAACCTTGAGAATGAACTGAGCAAAACAAATAGGGGATTGGCTGCACCTTATATTATTATTCTTGATAATATAGAAAATGACAATTTCTCTCATTTTTATTTTTTTCTTTTCTTTTCTTTTTTTATGCCAGTTCCAGAGCTTGAAGTTAGTGCCCCAAAAGCTCTATTTGTTCAAGGCTGGCACCTAATTTCTGGAACCATACCTCCAATCTGGTATTTTATTGATTAACTAGAGATGGACCCTAATGGACTTTTCTGATTGCAATGGCTTTGCATTTTTATCGCCTATCCTCAGTCTCCAGAGCAGCTGGGATTACAGAAATGAGTCACCCTTGCTTATTAAAACTGACATAATTTTTAAATAATTATTAAGGGCTGAGATACACTAATAACTCTTGGAATCTATTTTGTCTACAATTTTTTGAACTACAAGTAGCCTCTCAGAGTTTCTGCAGGTCTAAAGGTTAAACGTTGGTGCATGATATTGGCTGATATTATTTGCATATTTAATGATTAAATATATTCTGCCGAGGCAGAATGAAATGTTGTTATATGAAAGATATGATTTTTTAAAAGCTAAGAATCTGAATAAATTTTACAGATTGTTATGTTGTATAATATAACAAAAATATTGGATTAGTTGATAATCTTAATGTTGCTTGTTTAGGAAAAATGGTTGATAAACACTGAATTTGACTTCATGCTTTAAAAATAATTTTCCATGGGGGGTGGAGGGCTGGAGAGGGGAAGGGAAGGTATGGGGAAACAAAGGAGGAGGCAACAATGCTAGATAAGAAATGTACTACTCACTATCTTGCCCATGTAATTGTAACCCCTCTGTATGATATTTTCCCAATTAAAAAAAAAAGTCAAAAAAAATTTCCATCACCAAGATAAACCATCACCAGGAAATTCATGGATTCATAACCCATTTCTTTCTTTGGAAGATCATTTAAATTTGAGTATGCTTTTTTTTTACAGAATAAATTGTTTTATATAGCTATACATGTATGAAACTTAATTTTGAATTTCAGCATCCTTTATTCTATGTTGGATTATAGTTAAAAATAAAGGTCCTGGTCTTGGAGAAATTATTTTAAATTTGACTAAGACCTTGAAAAATGCTTCTGCACCAAAAGTTAAAAGAAAATGTAAGTGAATAGGGACAGAAGAATGTTAAAAAGAATGGTAGATGAATATCATCATAATATTCATTGTACATACAGACAAAAGAAAGTAGGGAACTTGATAAGTCAGGTTCGGGAAGGAGCAGGTAGGAGAAGCAAAAATGATGAAAGGGGTGAATGATGCACTATAGTCATAAATGGCATATTAAATTTAACCTCTCGTGTACAGCCATTTGAAGATTAAAAGAATTAAATGAACAAAATAAACATAAAATGTTAAGATATGTATTTCTTTCTGCTAACACATTTTTAAGACTATATTTAGTAACAATAGGTATTTTGGTCATTGATGTATATGTGTATGTGTGTGTGTGTCTGTGCATCTGTGTGTGTACACTATCACAGGCAATCAACATTTCTATTATAGTTTTATTTAGTTTTTACTGAACAATTGTTATAAAGCATTACAGGTATATACAGACTTTTGCATATAGATTACCTATAAACATACTTTTAGCTCTATAACTTTCATAATTTGAAATTTCTTCTGTTTATTTTTATTCTATCTAATGAAAAAAATTTACTTTTATTGAATGAAGACATTAAAATTTCAGGATAAACTTTGTTTTTGTGCTTCTATTTTTGCCAGTTCTCCATAAGAATTTATGAGTATTCTGCATCCTTAGAATTGTCACCTTTTTTTTCTTTTTGCTTTCAGACATTCCTATTTTTATTCTAGTTATTCTCTTATGCTGCATTTCACAAATTACTAGTGCAGGGTAAACTAAAATAAATGAAACCTTAACACAAACAGCAAATGGGAGGAAAATAATCTTGCTCTTTATCATACATAGTTTGAGATAAAATGAAAGGCCTTTTTTGTCATGGAGTGACATTCCACATCGGAGCTTGGTCCTTTACCTTTGGTGAAGGGCAAAGGTGCTGAATAATCTCACCCACCAATCTGTCCGGTAGACTTGTGAATCTAACTGGCTGTTGGCTGCCACCATGGCTTAGGCAAAAGTTCTACTTTGGTATCAACTCTTAGGCAAGCATCATTGAGGGGCCCAGGCAAGAGACACAGAATTCCAGTTCTTATTCAGGCATCACTGAGAGGACTGCCAGAAGGGCAAGAAGATGGCTGACTTCCAAGGTATTTGCATGTGGGCTGAGGCATTGAGCCCACCACATTCATTTACAGAGCACTTCGACTCCCTGGGCTTCTGTGTGACTGTATGCATGACTATGGTGATGTCTGCTGAACTGTTATGCTGAGTTCACCAAAAACAACATTTATTATGGAAAAGATAAGAGTTGGAGAAAAAAAATGCATTGCAGAGTTAGCCAAGTTGGTCAGAAGACTTTACTGTCAGGCATTGAGAAAAACGAAAAACAGGGTCAGTTCCTGCGGGCTTATATAAAAATAGCTTCTCCTGGAACATGTGCTGTGTTTTGGTGGACGATGGGTTAAAGAGAGGGAAGGAAGAAGGAAGATGAATGGAGCAATGGGGGGGGGGCGGAAGAGGGGGGGCCAATGCAGTCCTAATATTCAATGTACTTATGTGGACATAGAACCAGGTAAATTGATTGGGAGTACTGAAAAACTTAAATGCTGAATTGAAACCTTTTGGTCCAACTACTGAATTTATTTAATTTTTTTTTCGCTTCTCTGGTTATAAGTAAATTGAAGATCAAAGTCATAACTACTACTTCAAAGATATTTACTTTATTATCCAAACAGTAACATTGAATCAATCCAGTGGCACAATGAAAGAATATGATGTTTAGCTTAAAGAAGGGAGTTGGGGTTTACATCTGTATTTCCCCCCTTCATGTCACTAGTTGCATGCAGCCATTTGGCAACATTGCATTGTTGTTTTTTAATATTAATGACAGTGGTAAGTGGACTGTATCACACTTAATATGCAAAGTTAATTCAGTTGAAAACTATCCAGTGAAAATATTCCTAAATTATTCTTTGCTTCTGGTGAAGAATGTACACTTCATTTTAATTTCTGCCTTCTAAAGGGCTTTTAGAGTTGCCCATGATTCATTTTCATTGTGCTTTTTATGTACTTCCAGGAATTGCTTCTTCATCTAGTATTTGAAATGATGACTGACTGGAGACATCATTCAATGTAACATGCTCCAGAAGAAAGATAGGTGCCATTACTCTCCCAGCCCCTTAAATCATGTTCCATCTTGTTTGATAAGAAGCCTAATTTACCTTAGAAGGATCAAATGGGTTTACTACAAAGTATCTTTCCAGTTTTTAGGGAAAAACATGTCTGAGCATGAGAAAGAAGTATGGCTTTTCTTTATTTTAACAACTAAATAGAAAGATTTGAAGCAGTTCAAAGTGATATTTTTTCCTCTCAACTTGATATACACACACAGAAAAGGAGAAAGGTAAGTCCATAACTAATACATGTCTTCTGAAAGCTCAGTATGTGTCACAGAGTGATCTTAAAGTTGGTGTTGCATAAAGGAACAGAATCAACTCTTACACTTAATCTAAATAGCTAGGTCTTACCCAGAAGGCCTTAGGAGCCATTTGTATCTACTGCCTCCATGGTAAGGAGGATCTGATGTGAGCCTCCTATTGGATTCCTATTCATCTGGACATTCATCTGGGAATTTTGATAATCTGCTGCGAGTCAGTGACAATGCTTCCATGCTATCCCTCCTCCAGTGTCCTCACCAGAAAGGAACAACAGGTTCCCTTATGTAGATGACTATAATCCAAAATGAAAAGGACTTTACCTACCCTGTAGATTGTGATAGGGCATGACTCTGATTCTTGGGTGATTTGGTAACAGTAATATTTACAATTGAAGCTATAGTACTTGACACCCTTTTTACCTGTAGCTGTAGAAGATTCAAGAGTTTCTGGGAATGTT